TGTCAACCTGCAACCCCAAGACATATTATTGACTGTATTGACTCATCCATTGATGAGCTCTACTCTTCCCCGACAGACACCATCAAAAGTCTTAAGCTTTACAAGCTTGATACCTTAGTGTGATTGAATGGAGATAAGAAAGAAGAAGAAGGAATTCATGAAAAGATTGGGTACAATTTGGAGATTATACACTCATAGACAAAATCTTAAGGAAGTTGTGCCTTTTAGCATGTATATTCGGATTCAGACAATAACTCTGAAATAGTACCAAGAAAATAAGACCAAATATAAATAAATGAATAGTGTGTGATGTTTCGATAACATAATTGTTATCATCATTAGACAAAAGAATTTAAAAAAAAAGGTTTTTGAACTATTTGCCCTCCCAATTTATCAATTAAAAAAGATTGCTTACAAGAAAGTTATGGAGACACACATAAAATTGAACAGTTCCCCATGTTCCTGCTGACAGGCCGGTTTTCCTCATTAATTAACCCAGTTCCTTGAAGTTGACTTAATATGCAAACTTCTACCTGATGGTGATCGGTGGCCGAGTGGTATAAAACGTCGAATTTCGATAGCGACGTCCCAGGTTCGAATCCCGCAATGGCCACTTTTTTTTTTTTTTTTAATAAACAAATAATTACTCTAATGATTCCCGATTCTTACAAAAGTCACGAACCCATCAGTAAATATAAGTAACCAAATGGACTCTCATGTATGGGGCTGAAAGACGAACGAGAAGTGCTCCTCAGTGAAATAGGCCTTGAGGGACTCTCTTTGGAGCTCCTGTTGAATGAGGTGGTGAGAAACAGAGCTGGAGCTTTTGCGTTGTTCAAATTTTGGAAGACGGCTGAAGAGAAGAGGAGGTTATATACATAATCTAATTGATGTAAATAATTATATGCAAATAATCTATGTCAGGATTAGAATGACGTAGACCAGTAAAAGGCTTGTTGCTGCTGTTGTATATAGTCACAGTGTAGAAAATACTATACCTACTACTTATAGGTTTCTCTCTGCATTCTTAGTTCTCTTCTCTCACTCTGTAAACTGGCGAATCCTATATAGGACGAGAGGTCCTCAATAAAGGCTTTTGTTGTTGTTGTTGTTTGTTGTAACCAAATGGAGCTCTGGCACATTTGTAAGTGTAAAAGTCGAACTGCGCTTAGAGTAAAAGTAACAGTCAACTTCTACCGACCATGATTATCATGGCCTATACTACGTTTACTAAGGATAATCCCTATATATATAAAAGTCAGTGTATGTATGTTTGTCGGCTATACACGTCCATAATACGTAACTAATCTGACTGAAATTTGAACAGTATATAGAGTAGAAGCTGGAAAAATTTATAGTGAAAATTCCAAGTCACTATCCCGAATATTCGTCGAGTTATTTGTAAATTTGCCCTTTCGCTCGCAATCAGCGCCTCTAGCGGTGAAGATGGGAGGTAATATCAGCTGACCCAATGTAAATGTAAAGTTTGGAGCGGGACGTTTCACAAGAGTGACATCCACAGCGCCCATTTATAATTGTAACGAATATTATTTGAAAATCAGAATAATATAATTTTCAAATATCGTAGTGAAAATTTATATTTTAATTTTATTTTTTAAAAACACACAAAGTTTGGAGCGGGACGTTTCACAAGAGTGACATCCACGGCGCCAATTTATAATTGTAACGAATAGTATTTGAATAAAAACATTTAATCGGGTAAAACCCGGGCGTTGCCCGGGTCATTCGGCTAGTATAATAAAAACTACCTGACCTTATTTACATAGAGCTATATGGTATCAAAGTAATTGTAATCCAATATATGTTCATACACTCATGGACAAAACTTAAGGAAGTTGTACCTTTCAACATGTATATCGGGATTCAGACAATACACTCATGGACACAACTTAAGGAAGTTGTACCTTTTAGCATGTATATCGGGATTCAGACAATACACTCATGGACACAACTTAAGGAAGTTGTACCTTTTAACATGTATATCGGGATTCAGACAATACACTCATGGACACAACTTAAGGAAGTTGTACCTTTTAGCATGTATATCGGGATTCAGACAATACACCCATGGACATAACTCAAGGAAGTTTTACCTTTCAGCATGTGTATATCGGGATTCAGACAATACACTCATGGACAAAACTTAAGGAAGTTGTACCTTTTAGCATGTATATCGGGATTCAGACAATACACCCATGGACATAACTCAAGGAAGTTTTACCTTTCAGCATGTATATCGGGATTCAGACAATACACTCATGGACAAAACTTAAGGAAGTTGTACCTTTTAGCATGTATATCGGGATTCAGACAATACACTCATGGACAAAACTTAAGAAAGTTGTACCTTTTAGCATGTATATCGGGATTCAGACAATACACTCATGGACAAAACTTAAGGAAGTTGTACCTTTTAGCATGTATATCGGGATTCAGACAATACACTCATGGACAAAACGCCGACTGAGCGGCACGCTTTTGTCGAGCTCCGCCTTTTTTTTTCCACCCTGGCGGGTGTATGGCTACCGGCAGTACGCCGAGTTTAGTACGGGCTGAAAGCCCTTTAAAAGCTGATCAAATGCCTGGAAGGCACAGCAACGAAGAACTGCCCTGTGCAGAGAAATATCTCAAATACTAATGAAAGAATTGAAACTCATGCAAATTCGCCCGCCGGCGGAAGAAATGTAAATTCGGCCGCGCCGTTCAACTTGGCGGCTATCTCTTCTTCCAACCGCGGTGCCGATGCCCAAAGAAACTGGGCAGACTATGCCGAGGATGTGAATTCTGAGGAGGATGACAGCTTCACAGTCGTAAAAGGCAGGAAGAGGCGCCGCGACTCGCCGGATCTGCCTGCCATCGCCGCGCAGTCTAACAGCGCTGGCACTTCTCGCCGACAGCGACCGTCGACGGGACGGATGCCCGAGGTCCAGGAGATCAGGACCACGAGGGCACACGTCATGGAGGCCAGGGCTCGCCAGGCGTCCTGCACCGAGGAGCAGTGCTGTTTCCTCGAGTACTGCCCGGAATACCAGACCTACCAGTACATGAAAGCTATGGAAAAGGTGGTCGGAAGCACAAGAAACATTGTCCAGTTCACTAAGGTGAACGGGCAATACTTGGTCGGTCTCGCCAACAGATCCCTGGCGGAGCGCCTAGTTCGAGAGGGCCTCGAGATCGAGGGAACCCTTCTCAAGACCTTCCCCTTCAGGAGGACTTCAATCAGAATCACGATTGGGAACCTCCCCTTCTTTGTGGGAGACGCCGCCGTCATGGATGCCCTCTCCAGATACGGCCGAATAACCTCCATTGCCCCCAAACAGCTTAGGGTTGGAGAGTTTGATTTCACCGACGGCCGCCGGGAGGCCTTTATTCTCCTCCATGACGGCATAACCGTCGAAATGCTCCCAGCTCGTTTCGAAATAAAGATCAAGGGTGAGCCCTGGCCAGCATTCCTGACATTTGGAATAAAGTGCTCTAAATGCCGTGGCCAGGGTCACAGAAGAGCCAACTGCCTCCAACTCCATGGGCGACCCACCACCTCCAGACGGGCTTCACCGCCCCCTTCCACCAGCCTCCCTCCATCGACTGCGCCTGGGCTGCCTAGGCGACTTCGGCCGCGCCTCCTGCGCCGGCGCTTCCCAGTCCAGCCATGGAGGTTTGCAGCGCTCCTCCCGTGGCCCGAGCTGTGCTCCATCCACTCGCACCTCGGCCATCTCCACCAGAGGCCCCAGCCTTACCTTTGGAGGAGACGCCTTCTGCCCCTCCACCTGTGACCCCTGCTCCGTCCCTGCAGGCGCCTGAGGTTCCCGTAGGCCCTCGCCCAGCCAAGTCACAACATCCAGAGCCGATGCCTCCCGCTCGGCCAGACTTCGTTGCCCCGCGTGACCCTCTACCCACCCAGGAGACCCTCGGGCCTGCAGCCCCAACACCGGACGTGGAAATGTCCATAGTGGAGGAGACCACTGCGTCCTCCACGTCATCAACAAGAAACGCAACGGGGGACGACCTCGTGGCGTTCATAGAAGGAAACCCCAGCGTGTCCTTTGCTGGGACGGACGCCCTTGGTCTTGGGCGGGAGGAGGTCCTGGACCTCCTCTCCTCGAGGACCAGGGCGAAAAAGCGTGGACCCCTTTTGCCACCTCCGCAAAGTGACGCTCTCGCCGGCCTTATCAGCCAAATCCTGGACCTGAAGCCCGGAATGACCTCTAATTTATATAAGGTCCTTGGTCAGGTTAGGGCTGAGCTGGCGAAAACACCAGCCGCAGTACCTACACCCCCACTGCCTGCGCCTCGGCCTGCTGGGCCGACACCATCTGCTCCCCACAAAGAGGAATCGACACCGGCTATGACACCTCCTTCTCCACTGCCTGCCCCGATGGAGGAAGACTTGCCGCCGTACCTAGAAGATTGGATCTTTAAGAATTTCAGAGAAGTACTCAGTTCCCAACCCGACCTTGTAGCCTTGGTCGAGTCGGAAATCTCCTGGACTGACGTCATTAATGCCATCTTACACTCCCAATCTAGGGCGCCTTTCCTTGCGAGACTCTCGCCTGATTTTAAGAAACACTACGCCGTCTTCTTCGAGACGGTCTTCGAGCGCGCTCGGGACTGCCATCCTAGGATTCTCAGCGGGTTGTCCGAGCTCATAAAAGCCTTAACTCCCAAGACCAGACGTCCCCGCGGCAAGCGCTCCACCTGATTTTCTTTGTGTAAATTTTATCAATTGATCCTCTTCGTTGAGTACTAACATTGACGGGTCGTCAATAAAATTTCTTTAATTGTCAATTGTCTCATGGAGACAAAACTTAAGGAAGTTATACCTTTTAGCATGTATATCAGGATTCAGACAATACACTCATGGAGACAAAACTTAAGGAAGTTGTACCTTTTAGCATGTATATCAGGATTCAGACAATGACTCTGAAGGATATTTGATACACACAGTGAGCAGGTACTAATGGTACCTAATTGGGTACTATTAACCCGGTAACCACGTTTCCAAATGGTCACCTTCCCAAGTACTGACCGGGCCCAACGTTGCTTAACTTTGGTGATCGAACGAGAACCGGTGTTTTCAATGCTGTTGTTGTTGCCGTGTCCAATGAAGAGCCTCAGATATCTCCATACATCTCTATCACAGCAATGTTCTCTATCTTGGGTGTGTAAAGCTGCTGTTCTGGGTCAATTTTCTGTTGTTGTTGTTGTGTCCAATGAAGAGCCTCAGATATCTCCATATATTTTTATCACAGCAATGTTCTCTATCTTGGGTGTGTAAAGCTGCTGTTCTGGGTCAATTTTCTGTTGTTGTTGTTGTGTCCAATGAAGAGCCTCAGATATCTCCATATATTTTTATCACAGCAATGTTCTCTATCTTGGGTGTGTAAAGCTGCTGTTCTGGGTCAATTTTCTGTTGTTGTTGTTGTGTCCAATGAAGAGCCTCAGATATCTCCATTTATCTTTATCACAGCAATGTACTCTATCTTGGTGTGTAAAGCTGCTGTTCGAGGTCAATTTTAATTTTCTGCAAGGCTGCGGCAATTGCTGGACATGAGAATATGTGAGTAGGTGTTAGTTCCACATCAGGACAGTTGTTACATGTCCTGTAGGTTCTTGTGTCATCTGGATGTATTGTCATTCCTTTGTAGTGTTTCATTCTGAGTCTTGTGATTGTTTTTGTAATTATTCTCTCAGAGTTTATTTCGTATATTTAACCTTTCCTTGTGTTTTGTTGAATTATATTGTATTTAACCAGAGCAATTTTACAATGTTATATGTCCGCGTGGTATTTTCATTTAATTTCAATATGGTATGTGTTACATTTAGCAACAGCAACAACCATTTATAACTCTCGCGTGCACCATTCGCTTTATGGTGCACATTTTGGAGGCCACATTAAACAGAGAATATGGTGTATTGTAATATGATTTTCGAGCCCAGAAAAAAAAAAAAAAAAAAAAAAAAGAACCGTCTGCGACAGGATTCGAACCTGCAATCTTCTGATCCAAAGTCAGAAGCCTTATGTGCCACATTAAAAAAGAAAGAACATATTTTTTTGCTTATTCCTAGTACACATGGTATAGGCCATGATAATCATGGTGGGTAGAAGTAGGCGACTGCTTTTACTGTAAATGCACCACATGTCTACATATGTGAAAAGCAGTTCGACTTTGAACTTAGAAAAAAAAGAAAGAATATGGTTTTACGAATCAAAATGTATAATTTTCGAACCCAAAAAAAAAAAAAAAAATTCCCACGCCGGGAATCGAACCAGGGCCTCCTGGGTGAGAGCCAGGTATCCTAGCCACTAGACCACGTGGGAGATACATTAAAATATCCTATCTTCTAATATATAAATACAGTAAGAAGATAAGAAGAGATAAGATAGCAGCAAGTCATCTGACACAAACCTCTCTCTATTTCTATTCACACAGTTCATCTGGCTTGCACCACGCTGATGAGGGCCAACAGCCCGAAACGCGTCCGTGGTTAACTTTTCTTGATTAATCAAGAATGGGTATTTGGCCAATTCTGGAATAATTAAAAATCAACGAGAATAGTTGATATTTATTCCGATAGATGGCGCAAGCCATCAGCAACTTTCAGTTGCACGATAAGGAGATGCTTTTTTCTTAGTTCATCTTTAGTATGTGGGTCGTTGGAAGGATGGTCTAAACTGTTGGTTATCGACCGCTACAACCTGGGATCAAATCCCGCATTGGGCACTTTTTTTCTAATTAAAAAAAAAAAGAAAGAAAGAAAAATGCCTTCCGATTCTTATAAAAGTCCAACCTCACCAGCGAGTGCAAGTAACCAAACGGGGCTCTGGCATATTGGTAAGTGCAAAAGTCGAACTGCTTTTCACATGTGTAGACATGTGGTGCACTTACAGTAAAATTAGTCGCCAACTTCTACCCACCATGATTATCATGGCCTGTACCACGTGTACTAGGGATAATAATAAAAATATATTTAGTATAAAGCAATAACGCACCATTTATATACAGAAAATGGAAGTATTAAGACGCGAATGTTTTTTTCACACATGAATCAAACTTCTACTGTCCTTACTGCGATGAAAAATATTAGAAAGGCTTGGCTCATCAGTGGTGAGCCCTCCCATCGATTTCGCCAATTTTTAATCTACCAGACCGCTTCTTTAGAGCTCTAATACTGTATTGGATCATTCTGCTTTTATATGTTACACTGAAGGGTTGGGTCCAGGAAGGAGGGAGATATGGAGAGACCGTGTGGCCCACCCTTCAGTAGAAGAAGGCACTGAAGGAGGGAGATATAGAGAGACCATGTGGCCCACCCTCAGTAGAGGAAGACACTGAAGGAGGGAGATATGGAGAGACCGTGTGGCCCACCCTTCAGTAGAAGAAGGCACTGAAGGAGGGAGATATGGAGAGACCATGTGGCCCACCCTCAGTAGAGGAAGGCACTGAAGGAGGGAGATATGGAGAGACCATGTGGCCCACCTTCAGTAGAGGAAGACACTGAAGGAGGGAGATATGGAGAGACCATGTGGCCCACCCTCAGTAGAGGAAGGCATTGAAGGAGGGAGATATGGAGAGACCATGTGGCTCAGTAGAGGAAGGCACTGAAGGAGGGAGATATGGAGAGACCATGTGGCTCAGTAGAGGAAGGCACTGAAGGAGGGAGATATGGAGAGACCATGTAGCCCACCCTCAGTGGTGGAAGGTACTGAAGGAGAGAGATACGGAGAGACCGTGTGGCCCACCCTCAGTAGAGGAAGACACTGAAGGAGGGAGATATGGAGAGACCATGTGGCCCACCCTCAGTAGAGGAAGGTACTGAAGGAGGGAGATATGGAGACACCATGTAGCCCACCCTCAGTGGTGGAAGGTACTGAAGGAGAGAGATACGGAGAGACCGTGTGGCCCACCCTCAGTAGAGGAAGACACTGAAGGAGGGAGATATGGAGAGACCATGTGGCCCACCCTCAGTAGAGGAAGGCACTGAAGGAGGGAGATATGGAGAGACCATGTGGCCCACCCTCAGTAGAGGAAGGCACTGAAGGAGGGAGATATGGAGAGACCATGTGGCCCACCCTCAGTAGAGGAAGGCACTGAAGGAGGGAGATACAGTAGAGGAAGGCATTGAAGGAGGGAGATATGGAGAGACCATGCGGCCCACCCTCAGTAGAGGAAGACACTGAAGGAGGGAGATATGGAGAGACCATGTGGCCCACCCTCAGTAGAGAAAGGTATTGAAGAAAGGAGATATGGAGAGACCATGTGGCCCACCCTCAGTAGAGGAAGGCACTGAAGGAGGGAGATATGGAGAGACCACGTGAGATATAGAGATAATTGACAATTGACACAATTTCATTGGCATCTTGTCAATACAAGGTCAAAGTGTACAGTCCGCTCTATTTAAGTAATGAAAATGACTAATTTACAATGATGATGATGAAGATTTTTATCACAGAAATCAGATATATGCAATGTCAACATGTAAATGGCGCCACCACTGCAGATGTAAGATCACCAGCGGGTCTTCAGTGACATCACACATATCGCGAATAAAACGTAGAATCTATCCGTGATTAGGCAGGCTGTACCATAGAGGACTGGTCTAGCTGTTTGGAGAAAAGGATAAGAAAGATAGACATTCCTTATGATAAGAAGTCAGCCGATCCTTTCACCTCTTTTTTTATTCTTCCACATCTTCAGAGATAGCGATTAGAAACCCCAATCTCAGTGTTTAAATTGATATTTTTTCTTCTCCTTCTTAGATAACCTATTTATAAATATAGGGATACATTTAAGGAGACAGAGGTAATTTTGGTCACACTTGGTTATTTGTGTGTCTTCAATAAAGGTCTCTGTAATATAATTCAGAGATATTGTCTTGAATCCCGATATACATGCTGAAAGGTACAACTTCCTTAAGTTTTGTCCATGAGTGTATTGTCTGAATCCCGATATACATGCTAAAAGGTACAACTTCCTTTAGTTTTGTCCATGAGTGTATACACACTTGGTTATCTCGTATGTCTTCAATAAAGGTCACTGCTATATCTTTCAGAGCTATTGTCTGAATCCCGATATACATGTTAAATGCTCGATGCAAATATTTATATATAATTCTACAGTCCTATAAGCTTATGTCCATAGCTTTCTTGAAAACCATTTCTGAGATTCCACCCTTCAGTGCTGCGTATATAAGCAGAATTGTCCAAAACAGTATTAGAGTTCTGTAGAAGCGGTCTGGTGGATTAAATTGACGAAACCGCTGGGAGGGTTCACCACTGATGAGCCAAGCCCTCCCAATATATTTTTTTTCATCGCAGTAAGGACAGTAGAAGTTTGTATTATGTATAAAAAAGAAACATTCCTGTTTAAATCCTTTCATTTTATATGTGATAAAAAGTATAAATTAAGTTTTGTCGATGAGTAGGTCTTCAAGGATATTTGAGAATTCTATTGACCATACTGGATGGATAGAGTTTGAAAAATAAAGGGAGAGTTGGATCAAAGATGAATTGGTTTGATAATGGAATCGATTGATATCTAATTAAAGACAAGGAAGAGATGAAGAGAATTGTTCAGAACAGGATGAAAAATGGCATTCCATGATAGCAACCTTCTGTATCTGAGATGGCTGTACCATATTGTTGCATCAATTTTAATGCGCTCTACATTTATTCAAAATATTCTATGATATTTAATATTTATTTAAACAGATTATTTTGATTATCATCATTCCTTTTTATAGTTTCATTTCTTTTGTAATATTGTTATTGTACATATATCTTGATTGGTTATTGGAGCCAGAGAGGACCTGGACCAAGACTGCGGATCACGACCTACAAGGAAGACAACGAATAAATAAACACAATAACTTTAAAAGGTAATTTATTTTTATTTACTTTTATTTATTTGATTTGAGTATGGAAACCCGCTTGGGAAACGTGTATAATACCAAGAAGGAGGAAACAAAGGTCGACGACCCTGAAAAGCTGAAACTTGGTGAGACAATATGATGGTGATGATTATGATGAATAATAATGCTAATAATTCTATATACAGTTACGAGCGTCATGCGTTCTTAATTCTTCAGTTTTCAT